TTTCAGCATGGGGAGGGCCCGCACGTAGCTTTTGTACGCTCGTTTCTGAAACAGAGCAGTAAAAGCGCAGAACACCATAATGTGAGAGAGTAAAGGCAAAGGTGACTCCCATCAAAACAGACTGATGTGCAGTAGGACCTAAAGATCACTTCAGTCATCACAGACCCCTCTGGCACAACATCCAATCTGTACCCCTAAAGCTTCCTTCGGAGGGATATTAACACCATCAACCTGCAACGCCCCCTTTATAAGCTGTTGTCTCCTCAGTGGAAAACCGTCTGCAACCCTGCACCCATGTTTGGAGTAGGACCAGGCCAGGTGTACCTTCTCCTGAAATCTGAAGTTACGAGTGCTAGAATGAGCAATGCAGAACCATGTTGTTCAAAAAAAAAAAAAGTACCTCTTTCCAAGAGTAGCTTGTCCGTTCTAACTGAATAACACGCCTCGTCCGTGCAAAACCAAGGCAGGACAAGTAAAAACAGAAGTCCCTTTCTACCTCAAAGCAACTGGCAATATCCCAATATTTATGGGCAGTACAACCTTAACATGGGACTGTGCATAAAGCTGAGATTCACCTACCCTGCCCTGTGCTTACAGACCTTGATGATCCTTTCTTTCCTCGAACGAAAGCAAGCTGCCATTTGACATCCTTCGCTCCCTGGTTTGTGCTGGATTTAGAAACAGTCCAAGTTGCAAGACTCAGCCTCCTTGCATGGCTGCCTCATTGTTTTGGGGAAAAACAACCTCTGTCCTTACACATGTTCAAGTTCTTGCATTTGAACATTAGGTGCTTGTGGGATTATTGGTTTGGGAGATTTTTTTTTTTTAGTCAAGTATTTACTTATTTTTTATATTCTAATAAACTTCCTAGTTCATTGGAGGCAATGAAATTATTTCCACTTGAGTATACTATCCCTGCAGACATTCGTGACATTGTGTTCTCTGCTTTCTAATCTGGGAGAGGGAAATGGAAGCCAAATCTCAGGTACCAAGTTGTGCAGCTCTCACAGGCACTAATCAGATTGTAGATTTACTTCCATGTGATTTTGGAAACCTGCACTACAGGCACACAGAACTTCCCACTTCTCTGTAAATTTTGCTGCTTCCTGCTAAGAGGAGCTGACACTTCACATGTGGTTAAAAAATATTGAGCATTGTCATTTTTGACAATAATTAGATGTCATGACACAGTTACTCTAAATACATGCACTCTAAGGATGCATTTGATACCTTCAGTGAGTAAAACCTCAGAGCATGTTTTTAAACAGTTGTGAAAAATACAGCTTTATAAAGAAATGTGCTATCAGCATCTCTTAGAGTACTCTGGAATTTTAAATGTTTTAATAAACAAACTGGCAAGTCTGGGTTTTGCTGAATGAAAAACTGCAAGTTTGGTGTTGTAGGTAGGTAATACAGGTTCTCTGTTTGCTCAGGGCAAGGAGCCACAGTTATTGATTGGCAGGATCAGGTTTTCACCATCCCCATTGCATGAGAGACCACCCGGGTATGCAGCACAGCAAAAGCATAAAAGCCTAATGAGCCATGAGGATGTTACAGTGTGGGCTACTACAAGTGATGCTGCTGTGTAACACCCGAGTGCTTCTGCTTTCTCTCTGTACAGACGGAGATCACTCCTGCCTGTAGGCCTGACTCTTGGTAAAGCAGAAGGGGACCGAGAAGCAAAATATTTTACAGAGCAAGGATTTTGCAATGCTTCGAAATTCTCAGTGTTTAGGGCTTTTTTCTGGCCCTTATGTAGCAGAAGCTTAAGAGCTTTGCTTTCTGGGCATTTTATCTCAGTCTCTTACTCCTGAGTTACTACTTAGTGATTCTTCTTTGTGAAACCCTGTGCCGGGCTGCAGACAAGGCACTGCGATTCAGATGTTATTTGAGAGCTAAGGAAAAGCAGCTGGGCAGGTGGAGCAAAGGGAGACAATAGAATGTGCTGGAAACTTCCAGCACTGTATTTTAGGAGCACAAAAATTATAGCAACACTTTTCAGCACCTGCAATAAAAATAATGGGGGACAGAGGAGCGAGTAGGGTGGCAGTAGGATAAACAAACATAGGCAAGGAAGCAAATCGTGGCAGCCAGCCCTTCACCTGCCTGCAGGTCGCAGAGCTCTGCAGCAGGGTTGGCCCTGGGCAGAGAGAAGCACAAGGTCCCTCACCAGCTGAGAAATGCACACTGATTTCTTCCTCTCCTCACCCCTTTCCCATTAGGCAAGAGGAGCAGAGGCTCATATTGCACGCTAAAGGGAATAATAAGGTGACTATTAATATCATCTTCTTCCACCAGCAAAGAATCTCAAAGCGTTTCACTGTCATGCATTAATCCCTGCACAAGTCTGGTGAGGTAGGGAGGGTCAGCATCATTATCCTTGCTTTAAAGCACAGAATTTTGTGGATGATCATCTGGCTGCCACAGCAGGCAACTGCTTTTCCTACCCCCAGTCCAGTGGGTAGGGATTCTCCCAGGGATCAGCTGTACCTGCCCGCTACACATCCGGCACCTCGCTTTTCAGAAACCCTTGTGTCCCCGTCTTTTTGCACATATCGGTGGGCCGTGCTACCCCGTCCTCCTTGCCTCCCCTCCCCATCCTTATCCGTCCGGCGTCTTGCTTTTCAGAGACCCTTGTGTCCCCATCTTTTTGCACATGTCAGTGGGCCGTGCTACCCCGTCCTACTTGCCTCCCCTCCCCATCCTTATCCCTAAGAGGTTTCTCCATGGATAGGCTCAAACGGAGGCTGCCAGGATATCGTCGGCACTGCGTATTATTTGTCTCTGCGATTCCATCAAATAAGGAGACAGATAAGCTTCTTCCCGCTCCCTCCCATCGCTCAGGGCTCCAGAGCGTCACCCTCCGCGTACCCCACGGCAAACACTGCTTCTGCCCTAAGGGGGGAGACCCCTAAAGCATCTCCCTCCACCCGCCGCCGTGCTCACCATCTCATTGTAGGCATCTCTGCTGAGCCGCGGGGTCAGTTTGATGGTCCCCATAAAGACGAAGAAGAGCCCCAGGGCCACCGAGAGGGCGACGATGGTGATAGTCCTGGGAGATGCCATGGAGCTGCCAGCAACCGGTCGTGGGAACCGGTCCTAGCAAGGCCTTCTCGCTCTGGCTGCCAGCCCGGGCGGGAGGTAGTCAGTCACCATTGAAGGAGATGAGGAATAAAGCTGCAGAGCCAGCGAGGATGACAGCGGGAGGGGGATTCAGCCTCCTCCACTCAGCAACCTCTGGGTCCTAATGCCCGGCAGCCGTAGCCAGGCAGCACTAGCGGTTGCTGCGCGGGGAGCATCCCCACCGCTCCTACCGTTACATCACCCTGTTTCCTTGCACGTTCCATAAATTACCCACAGAAAAGCGAAACTCACAGTTCTAAGGACGTGGGATGGCACGGTTGCTCAATAGTGGGAAAACGAGGACACGTTAGCAGAGGGCACGAGAGTAACCTGCTGCAGAGGAAAAGTGGTCGGGGGTCTTTTGTACATAGGCAGCCTGCAGTTTCCCGATGCTCAGACACCTAATACACAGCAAGCTACATACAAACATCTTGCTTAATACATTTGCCCCAAAAAAGCAAAGATGTGTTGCCCCTATGGCTCTCCTGGAACCTGATGTCCAAAAGGGACAGTGAGGTCACTGTGCCACCATCCCCCATTGCAGATAAAAGCTGTTCCACTCTCCAGAGACTAGTGGCAAGGTTTCCTGATACTCTGTTCTTTCTGGTTTAAAGTCATTATGTCTCCCCCTCGGATTTTCAACACATTTCCTTTTGATAAAAGCATAACCAAGCTAAGCAGAAATCCATTCAGATCTCACAGCGAGAAGCCAAGGTGTAATTATACAAAACAGAACTGCTGGAAAACTGCATCCCTTGCTATAAACTGAGAACAAGAGGCTGTAACAGTGTGCAAAAATCTTACACTCATAGAGTAGTACAAGAGTGACACTTCCTATGCCTGTCAGGAATCTCATCACCTCCCTTTCCGGTATCTCAGATCCTAAACCCATGTATTTTAAGTCCCCATGGCTTGAGAACTGGTGGTTGTTATTTCAAGCTCAAGGTTCCTCAGGATTGGAGTTAAAAGTATGAAAAATACAGGCAGTTCTCCTTGTTTCCTTGGGAGTTTGTCAGCCTTGATTCACGCAGATCAGATAGGGAACTCCTCATGTGGAGCAAAGAGGCAACAGCCTTACTGTAGCAATGGGTTCTGCCACTGGTCTGGCCTAGGTAACCAGGATAAATCAAAAGGTAACTTCACTGCAACATCAAAGTTTAAATTTAAAAATAAAAAGAGCCTGATGAGGAAGTAACTTCTTGCTGCTGGGCACTTCATATTTAGGTATCAGCAAGCATTAGCAGAGAAGGGGTAGGCAGTTATGGAAAGGGAGACACTGAAATCTGTTCTCTCTTCATTTTATAGTAAAACTCTTTCTCATTGCCTCCAACTTATCCACATGACTGACAGTGAGTATTGATTTTGGATGTTTTGATAGGAAATTATTTCCCTGACACCAAAAGTCACCATTTTCCTAGTGAAGCGTGAGGATTTCTAGTTCTGACAGTTTCTTCGCAGCAAGTTCACTACCAACTTGAAAAACACCTGAAATATCCTAGAAGCAAGCAAAAAGCTAATGGCACAGCAGAATTAGAGAATACAGGGGATTTCAGTACTTCGTATTCACACATTGATGATGAAAACCCACAGCATCACGGAGAGGGTACGTTCCAGGCTGGGCCAGCAGCCCAGGAAGAATCTTGGAGGGGAGGGAAGGGTGATGAAATGCTACAGAGAACCTTTTCACCCAGCAATCCAAGTGTTTGCTTAGTTTCCAAGTGCAGTGAGGCAACCCCAAGAAAGAGCAAAAGCCACATTATTTATTTGTATACAGCTTTCAAGAAAATAAGTTAAAATCCTAACTACATTGACTCCAGTCTTCAGGACAGTAGGAGGTTGCTTCCCAGGCCCTCAGAGCCAGCATACCTGCCTCCTTGTCAGCGGGTGAACAGCAGCACCAGCTCACAATGGGCGGTATGAGGAAACATGTCAAAAGGTATAGCCAACATGGGGGTGAACGGTTCTCCTGCCAACTTCTTCCCTGGGTCAGCTGGGCAGCAGAGCCTGTGGAAAGCAGAGAGAGCATCCTTTAGACCAGTAGCGGAAGTCTTCCCACTTTTATCAGCAGCACAGTAGGAAAGAGGATACCCTCAGGATGTATCATGTTTGTCAAACGTCCCTCAGCATCTGCAGCTGGCACTGGCTGAGGTCTGGAACCATCACTGCCGAATCCTAACCAGCTCTGGAAACCTCAGGGACAAGCTGAAGAGTCAGTGGCAGGTTTAAAGCTCCTTTTCTCACAAACCATCCCAGCTGAGAAGCACTTAATACCCTTAGGAGATAATTCTCAGTTTTGCACTACCTTCATTGGTTACCTGCAGACAGATTTATCACCGACAGGCAGGCCCGCCCCAGATAAAGACTTAGTGATACAACTGATTAACCCTAAGCAGGTGACTAGCCCCTTGGCTTCACTTCATTGGCTACAGGCCAGCCTTCCTGCAGTGAACCCAGTGGACTCCATATCCCACATCCAGATGTGCTGTTTTGGTGGGGAAAGATGCACAATGCCATGATAGCATTATTTTCTATCCCTTACTGATGCACTAAAGCATCCTGCTGGAACATAAACCCCAAAGAATTCCCACTACCTTAAACCAGCGAGCACAGCTTCCAGGTAAACCCAAAGTAAGGCAGAAGTATGAACCCCTTCTGACCATGCACTAGTCCTGGGTCACCCCTGCAGAACCTGCCCAGTGAAATTCAGTCGCAACAAAATCCTTCTTAAGCCCAGGTCAGATATTTACATCCTCGTCTGGACATAAAAGGGTCTGTCACTAAGGTCAGTGGAAAGGGAGAGGAGGGTGCTCACTCAAGAAAGTTCCTCATGGCTTCACCCTCTGGCTTGCAGGAGATGTAGAGCAGCCTTCGGATGGACTTGCAGTTTCGGATGGCTTGCACAACCTTGTAATCTGTAAAAAGAGATACTGTGCTTTCCCAGTGACCCACCACCACCGTGAGCTCTCCAGAAGGAACGACTGCACAGTGAACATCGTAGAACTGCACTGAACTGTCGAAAATACAGCATGCATGAGGAGAGTGTGAGGGCTGGGTTATTCAGCCTGGGAAAGAGAAGGTGAGCAGGGATCCGTTTGCTGTCTTCAGGGACCTCATGGGGGATTACAGTGAAGATGGAGCCAGAATCTTCTCAAAGGGACATGAGAAGAGGATGAGAGGTAACAGGTGTACTGCAGCAAGGGGCAATTCTGATTAAATATATTAGGGAAAACATTTTCAGGAGAGGGAATCCTCCCTCAGACTCATTTCAACCTCAACTGGGCTTTATAGCTCTGTGCAACCTTATACAACTCTGCAGCTAGTCTTGCTGTAGTTGGAGATTGCACCACAGACCTTCAGAAGCTCCTTGTCTCCCAAATAATTCTGTGAGCCTATGAAAGATGGACAAAGATTAGAGCTGTCTGCTTTAAAGAGAAAGCATGTTAAATACACTGAAAACAGCAGACTCGATGGGATTTTAGCTGCCGTCAGCAACAAGGTAAGAAACTAGAGACTAAGAGAGCAAGAGGTTTGGAGCCGGGTCTCACAGAACTTATTAAAAATTCTCTGTTTTCAAGATGAAAATAAATAGCATATTCTCTCACGGAGCCCAGCTCGAGACGGGTTCACCACAGCAACAAGGGGCCGAGCATCCTCCCACGATGACAGGAGTTGTGGTAACACGGCCTCTGCCTTTCCACTGTGAAACTCACAGTTTGAAATTCCTGTGAAGCACAAAGCAACGGCGTGAGCTGAGCAGAGCCAGCCTCACCAGACTTGAGGTATAACATGAAGCACCGCCCTTTGCTGCGGGGAGGTAACTTGTTAGGATCCCTCTGCTCAGTTCTGCTTCCCATTTTTCAGCAGTTAGCTTGAAATTCTGCCACGGTAAGTTTGAACTCACCATTGAACGCTGCATTCCACCTGGCATCCTCTACTGCCTTCTCCACCACCTCTATACCAATAATCCTGGACACTTGGTGTGCCAGAGAGAGACCAATTGTACCTGGAAATGAGGGATGCAAAATTACTCCATATATCCATGCTGAAGAAACAACCCTTTAGATAGCAGGGATCATTTTTGGCATGCAAAGCGCCGGCCCTCGGAGCCAGGCTCACACGGCCACCGCTCACCCGTTCCACAGCAGACGTCGAGGAGAACGGTGTCCTCACCAGCCTGACTCAGCTCCCCGACTGCCTGGTACAGAACTTCTGCTCCACACGTGTTTACTTGGAAAAAGGCATCCGGAGAGATGCGAAACTTCAGGCCGAGCACTTCTTCAAAGATGTGCGGTTCTCCGTGAAGGAGCTGGAAGGGGGACTGCTCGTGGGAGCAGCGTGTCATGGTGCTAGCAGAGCGCACAAAACCAGCTGTCAGAAGGCAGCAGGGAGGTAACTCTTTCCATTCCTGGGGTGCTCATGGGTTCTCCCCCCACCAAATTTTATTTCGTGTGAGCCTTTCAACAGAGTCAAAGAATTTTGATTCTCTGTAAGGGATGGGTAACATGCAGAGCCTAGAATCCATTAAAAGGACCAAAATTACTTTGGAGTTCTAGGGTCTACTCCCCAGTTTTGCTGCTAAAGTGATTTCCTGTCTTGGGAAAGTCATAGTGTATTCAAGTATTTCAGGTCTGGATAAACAAAAGATGTGGCCATCTTAAAACCACATCAGCAGGAGGCATCCAAACTTCTGTTACTGTCTTTGAGCACTCCCTGAACTGGTGGAATTTGATCAGAGAGTGGGGAGAAAAAGGAGGTGGCTTTGTTTCCATTCTTTCCCTGCATCAAGGCATATACCTCTCTTGGAAATAAAGTGAAGTCAAGGCACAGACTGATCCAGGCCCACAGGTGAAGAATTCCTTAAGCAATGCTTTCTGAGTAGCCAGTGCCTCCTGTCAAGAGAGAGAAAGGAAAACCTGGTTGGTTGGGTGATTAGACGCCCCACCCAGCAAGCTCGGTCAGCCAGATTCCCAATGTGCCTCTTGCCATCAGACCCTATCCTCCACCTACTCACCTGGCTCAGCTGCTGGGGGTGGAAGGTGACGATAGCCATGGTGTGGCCACGGCTGGTGGTGCGTACCACCAGCTCCCGCCAGTGCCCACCTTCGTGGAAGAGGATGCAGGGGTCCAGGGAGGAGCGACGTATGAACTCCTCATAGCACTGAGCGGAGGGAAAACAGCACTTGTAGGACAGCGAAGCGAACTGCCCCGGTCCCAGCATAACTCTGTGCAGGTGGCCCTTCCACCAGGATCACTGGGTTTCTCTGCTTGATTTCATTATCACTGAGTGAAAGCTCTTTCCAAGTTTTTGGAAGACAAGACAATTTAATAATTTCAATTTGTGATTCTTATGTATTTTAATAGATTGGCAGGAATTCGTTCTCACTTCATTCACTTCTTTAGGACAGTTTAGAGGCTGGAACATTAACATCCAAGTTTAAAAATATGTATTCATCCATCAACCAGAATCAGGCCCAAAACCTTTCAGAACATGAAAATGGAGTTGAAAACCCAGCGTAACTAAAATTACAATGTTCTCTTACGTTAAGAGTTACGGCAGTCCCTCTGTCCCACAGTCCAGGGACAGACAGGACACTCATTTACCTGGGCCACTTGTTTGTGTTTTGGCGGTATGTTCTCCATGTGGCTGGCTTTCACACAGACAATATTTCTTTCTGGAGAGAGACAGACTGGTATTTAATTATTTTGTTTCAGGGCACGTAAACCACTGTAACATCTGCCATGATAAACTGCGGAGAGGCCTTTCCCCTGAATTCTCCCACTGTACAAAAATAAGAAGAAAAAAGAAAAAAACTGGTATCTATGTGCCCCACTAAATCCTGAGATGTTCTGGATACCTGCAGTCTGCAGAACCTGCCAGAATTCCCTTTACCTTTATAATTAATGAATGTCACTAACTTCCATGAAGAGGTTGGAGTTGCAGGAGCTTTTAAAATCTCCTAGAGCAATTCCCAAAGGAGCCACTGCCCTGTTCCTAAACTAAGGGATCCAGAGCAGAGCGAGCTGGTTTTCTAACTGGAGAATAATGGCGTGGGCGTACAGCAGCAAAGCAGTTTTCCAGTGCATTCCCACTTCAGTTTAAATGCTAAACTTCCGCTGTCAGAGCTAAAATGCATCCACAGAATTATTTTTCCATGAGAAAAGTACACAGCAACCACCCTGGCGCCTCTTGCTATGGATGTGGAGAAGCAAAACCTAGTACTGATGGTGTGAATGAGTTCACCACTGAGCAGCTTGCAAGGAGCACACAGCTCACACCTTTGCCGCACAAATCCAAACTGCCTCCGCACATCCCAAATGCTCCAATGTTACTGACGTCCCCCCCCAGGTGCTGCTCTGAACAGGCTCCTGGAACGTGCCAAAACCAGAGGAATAGTATAATTAAGAATAACAAACCTAAAACCTGGAGGAGCTGCTACCACAGCCGTTTTCCTTACTGCTGTATTTAGCAAATTAGAAGCTGTTGTTTCTTAAGCAGCTCATTAATTGAGGTTTTAAAGTTGCTGCCCCGGGCTCAGCGGTGTTTCTGTTGGCATCCCCCAGGATTCAGGCTTCTACCTCAGGTGGAGGCTGTCACAGCAGAGCCCTGCCCCAGCCCAGCCCATGCCAGTTTTCTACCCAGCTCCTTGTCCTGCACTGACCTCTGCCAGTTCCCACATACAACCCCACGGTTTTGGGGTTCCCATCTGGCCCTCGGTTCACAGAGAAAGTAGATTTGTTTCGGTAGCCATTAATGACAGGCTGAGGGAGAAAAGAAGGAAAAGTAAAGCCTTGAGTTAAAAAAATAAATGGAGCAAAGCCAAAACCCAGCCTAGTTGTTCTGTCTGCAACACGGGAAGATACACATGAATATTCCCAAGGTGGAAATGGAGCTTGTGCATGAGACCACCAGTACTTCCCCTTGGGAAAGTGACCCAGAGTGGTGACAGGTCTATCAGGGAAGGCTTGGGCACAAAAAGGGGCTCCTAATCATTGGGCTTGCTTCACTCTCCAGCAGTCACAGGCTGCAAAGCAGAAGCTAGCAAGGACTGCCACGAAAACTTCCCCTGCAACCAAGGAATCCCCACCATGAGACGCTTCGGGAGTCAAGTGAAAGACTGTTAGTGGCTCAGAGGGGACAGTGTTCCCATGGGATACTCACCGAAGCGACTACAGGCCGGAGAGGACAGCAGAGTCCACCAGATTTCTGCACATCTGTGCTCAGCTCCTCAAGACGAGAGGTCAGCGTTTGAAAAATCTTCCTCTGGCTTTCATACTTCACCTGCAGAGGAGTCCGAAGCCAGAAACACTCTCACACGATGGTGGGCAGCTCTTCATCACCCACCTCTGGGAAGGCTAACAGGAGGGAATACTGCAAGTAGGATATAGCCCCAGAGGAACTCTGCCTTTCTCAGCACTGCAGCCACTTGGAGCTACGGGGAGAGAGAGTAATCCTGTGTCCCCAAGCGCTGGCCTGGAGCACCTGCTCCAACCTGAAGCCCCAGTGAAGCAGCTGTCCCGCACTGGACAGGATCACTGGGTGAGTGCCTGTGCTCTGTGCTGCTGGTAATCACACACCACCCACAGGGACAACAACCAAAGAATTAAAGCAACAGCAAATGGGGTCTGAAGAGTTAAGCAACTAAGATGCTTGGGGCTGTTGCTCAAGGCGGGTAGGAGAGACAGTTAGGGCAACACGAAAGAAGAGTCCACATAAGCACATCTTACCTGCAGCTGCTCTTGATAGGGGAGTCTCCACAGTGGAGTCACCGCGTTTGCCAACCTGGAAAGCACATCACAGTAGTGCCCAGAGGTACTTCCCTCCTGATACTTATGGCATCACATCCCTGCCAGCTGCTTTGTGGGCAGGACTGTTCTGGTAGGGACTCTGCACCAGAACTGGCTGTGAACATCCGAAGTCCCTTTTCATGGCACCTTCCTGGTGCATAATACTTGTGGCTGGAAGAGGGACCCAGGAATCACAACCACCAGCTCTCCAGAGGACAGGCTGAGCCTTTGGCAGAAGATTGACCCGTGATGCCTGGGTGTCCTGGGTAACCCAGGTCTCTTTCTGATCCCCCTTTAGAGGACGGGGCCAGGAACAGCGTTTCCCCCACACAAGGACCCAGAGAGGCCCAAAAGGTGAGATCTGACTCCAGGCTGGTAAAGACAGGGCAATGACTATTCAAACAGTACTGGGGTCAGAGGCAGGAAAAAACCCCAAGTGCAGACAGAGAAGGCAAAAAAAGAGAGATCAAGTTGTGGCTGCAGATGGGCTGTTGCCTTCTCCCACTGAATCAGAGGCTTTGGCCATCCCTTGCTGCTTCAAGGACAACCTGAGTCCCATCTCCCTGGAGTTTTCTCCTAAAAAAGCAAAATGCCTCTCTGCATCATCTACCTGCTCATGTTTCCAGCCGCTATTACACCATTTTTGCTAATGCTGTACTAGATTAAATCCACCACGGTGAAACGAACAGTTTATGTGTAGCCGACAGGGAATTACCGGCTGCCCACTCTCACTGACCTGTCCACCCACGCAGCGCCAGCTCGGAGATAAACCTCGGAACGAGCCACTGCTTGTGTCTGAGGCTGGGCGAGCAAGAACAAAACACACAAAAGCTGGTTCAAAAGAGTAAGGGGTGAGGTGGGTATCATCCAAATTACTGTAACTATCCATCTACAGACTCACTGAGCCCATGGAGAACCTCACCCCACAACTGGATGAGCTGCTGTTACTGCTTACCGGGATTTTTGGAACTGCTTCCAAAGCACCCAGGCTCAGAACTGCAAATCAAATGGACTGTTACTCCTTGCTTGCCAGCGTGGCAACTGGATCCTTTCCCCTTAAGCCTTGTCTTTTCATTATTCCTGTCCCAGGCCAGGCTCCAGGGAAGCCAGCTGTGCCCTGGCTCTTCTCTTCAGAGAGAGGTGGGTGCAGGTGAAAGTGTTGCGGGGAACCCCCCCCCCCCGCCGCTCTAACCGCTTCGGGTGCCTGCTGCTATGGAAGAGTGCTTGATTATTTTGGAAGAGCCGTACCTCTCCTCCCACGAGGAACCTGGCAGGCCACAGCACTCCCTGTTTGCTGCCACCTTCCACCTCGCTGCCCTCTTCTCTGTCAGCAGGCTGCAGTCCCGAGGGGCCAGGGCTCCCAGGAGAGCTCTCAAAGGGCGAAGGTGCCGAGGCAGTGGCCTCCACGCGCAGCACAGAGCCATGGTGGGAAGGAGAGGGCCTGCACCCCCGCAAGCAGCCCCGTCAGCCCCCCAGAAAGCGTCACGTCAGCTGAGCACCCGGAGACCAGTTGGGAAGAACTCCATGGCGGCAGGCAGCTCCGGCTCCAGACTGTAAAACCACGGGGTTTAAAAC